TCATCTGCTATCACTCTCTCTCAGGACTAGAGCACTTGCTGTCCCCTCCTCCCTGGCCTCTCCTCTGGGCACCTCTGCTGCCACAATGTCGCCCAGCTCCCAAGGCTGGTGTTGCTATGGCTTACTGTGGGCTGCTGGGCACAATGCTCCCCTTCTTATTGACTTGTACCCCAATGCTCTCTCTCTCTCAATGTGAGAGGTAGATGTTGAGCGAATGGATTCATGACGTAGAGATTGTGTGTGCATTGGACACCTTCCTTATTGTTTGACTCCGGTTTTCCCACCTAGGAAATGAAGGCAGTGGTGGTACTTTAGAAAACTGCAAACGATCCACGTGTCTAGCATGTGGTAGTAGCTGTTGTGTGCTGTCAAGTTCATCTTGAGCCATAGCCACCGCCTGTGGCTGAGTAGAACCTCTAGGCTGTAATCTTTCTGGGAGAAAGACGAGACGGTGTGCTCTCTCAGGAGCCCACAGAGGCATACCCACAGAGGCATGCCCACAGAGGCATGCCCACATGGTCCTCCAGAGTGGCTGAGTCGGAATCCGCTAGCTGCCAGAGTCTTGGTAAGCGAATCTTACCAAGTGGGTGGGAGCAGGTCGCCAGGCCTATTCTCCTGTGGAGAAGTCGGTGGGTTCTAACTGCCCAACTTTTGGTTAGCAGCCTCCCCCAGAGCCAGTGGCCACTCCTTAGCAGATAGGGTACAGTAAGGGCATGGGAACAGTGCTCAGTATGATCAGAGCCAGCGATGAACCTGACGAGCAGTTTGTGCAGCACCTGTCAGAACCGCTGGGCTCTGGGAGTCCTCGCACAGGACTTTGGACAGAATGAATGAAATTGAGCCAGAGAGGTGGCAGGCAGCTGGCTGTGGCACTGATGCCCTGGTTACCTCTCGTAAAAGCACCAGTGCTCAAGCTGGAGGACGGAGCCATGAGATTCATTTAGCGGCCCCGAGGAACAATCGAAAACAACCAAGTAGCCTAAAATAGAAAATATCATAAGGGAAGCAGAACGTATCTATGTTTTTAATGTTGTGCCCCAGGCTGGGCCGTCCGTTTTACACTCAACAGTCACACACAGAAACTTTGTTCCAAACCATCCAGTTAGCTCCTTCAGTGTGCGCAGTCCAACCACCTCCTCCTGAGCTTCCTGTTGTCTGTTTACATCCTGCCTCCAGTCCCAGCCCTCTGACCTTGGGGGCTTACAGGATTGGCTTTTCTAACACCCGGCTCAGTTCAGTTCTGGACCTGAAGAGGGGCGAGGGGCTATGGTCTAGGGGTCCTCTGTCACACCAATAAGCCTGGTCTCTTGAGGGTGAGTTCCGTTCCACATTGTTCTCCAGTTCGACCCAAGATCTCCTCCTGTGATCCATCCAGAGCAGTTGGAGGCAGAAGCTAGGCCCCCTCTAGTCCTTCTCTCCCGGAGTTATGGAGACTGATGTCCGTGTGGTGCTTCCAGCCATGGGACTAATGATTGTCTTTTCGCATTTGATTTTCATCATTCTCATTTCTTTCTCCCAGAGGAGGAGAGGCTAATATGTTTACCTTCGATGACTTCTTGTGAACTCTAAGACCCTGGTCCATATTCACTGAAAGATGTAGAGCATCATCGTTTTGACCATGTTACGCCTCTTGGCTTTGGTGTCCCCAGACTCTGATCCCAAGCCCCCAGGCCCAGTGCCTTGTCCCCCTCAGGGTGCTGCTATGCCTAAGAAGCTTTCGTAATGTGGCCCCCTGTGTGCTCTACCACATTCATGGGTATTTCTGCAAGCGGATATCCAGTGGTGCAGTCAAGGTAAATCCCATGTACAAGTATCCTCCGTCATACAGAATGTGTATGTTTGTGGATAAATGCTCTCTCGCCCTTCTATGCCTCTTCAGCCTGTGCGTCTGCCCAAGCATCTACTTGCAGACTGTCATTCCTGCAGGATGGCACATGCACTGTGCCTGGCTTTGTCGCCTGGAACTCTTGCAGCCCTCATTGTGTCTTCTTCTGCATCCACCATTTCTCCTCACCTTTTCCTTATTGTAGATCACCTTCCCTTTCACCAGGCTAATCTGTGCTTACTCTCCAGCCCAGATGACCCCAGGTAAACCTTCAAAGCATGTTTCTTGTGGTCTGTAAATGTTTCCTTGAAGTCTTTATAATAGTGGCTCATGAAATATTTGTCCTTTAATGATTGACTAATTTCACTCCACGTGTGTCGTCCAGATGCATCCTTTTAATGAGGTGTTTCCACAGATTCATTGTAATTCTTTAATACTCCCTAGCATCCCCTGTGTGTCTTCCCCAAAGTTTAGTTATCTATTCTTCTATGCTAGGCACTAGGCTTTTTCCATCTTTCTGCTCTTGTGAACAGGGCCGCCAAGGGCACAGGCAGGCATATACTTATACGTGTCGCCACTGTCACTTCTGTAGGTTACATGCCAGCTAGAGGGGCTACTGGGTCAGAAGATACTTCTAGTCCCCACCCTTTTCGGAAGCACCGCTCCCTTTTGTATAGTGGCACCGGGTACTTTACCGCGTCCGCTAGCGGTGCGTGATGCCTGTTGTCTCTCCGTGCCTGCGGAAGCATTTGCTGCGCTCTAGTTCACACGTTACGGTGGGGCTGAGCCGGTGCCTCCTGATGGCTCTGATTTGCATCTTTTGAGTGGGTGATGAGCATGAGCATTTCTTTACATGTTGGTTGGGGACCTGAATGTACTCAGTAGTGACGTGTCTAATCATGTCTTCTGAGCATTTGTTAATTGGATTATTTGTCTTTTTCTTGTTGAGGTGTGAAGTTTTCTATAAATATTAGGGATGAGAACCTTACCCGATAAGCTATTGCTAACATTTTCCCCCAGTGTGGGGGTTCCCTTTTTATCTACCTAGGAAGTCATCTGATTTGTCTCCTGTTGTTTGTTTCATTATGTTTGATAGTGTGTTTTGCCATGCACTGGGACTTTTAAGTGTATCCATAATTTTCATTGATGATCTTTATAGTTGTGGGTTTTATGTTAAGGCCTTGAATCCATCTTGAGTTCATTCTTGTATACGATATAAGGTGTGGGTCCTGTCTCATTCTTCTGAGAAAGGATGTCCAGTTTTGCCAGCACTAATTGTTAGAGAGATTCTTTCCCTCCCATTTAATGTGTCCCCATCCTTTGCCAAAGATTATGTGACTCAGTCAAAAAGGGCTGAAAAACTCGCGTTTTAAGCCCGGGCATGTGGTGAACAAACTAGAAGTTTCCTTGAGCTCTTGAGTGGAGTCGAGTGCGGCAACGGTGAGGGTGAAGGTGGTGACAAGGACGGTGAGACCTTATGAAGAAGACGGGCGGGCGCTGCTGGCGCCACTGCTCTCGAGCACGCAGGGCACGCCGAGCATCTTCTAAGCGTGAGCTGCTCGGATCCCCCTGTAGCTCTGTGGGTCGGCTGTTGCCATGACACCATTTTGCAGAAGAGGAAACTGAGGCACAGAGCAGGGAAGGTATTTGCCTGTGTTTGTAAAGTCCTGGCTCCTGGGCCCATGTCTTTAATGACAGTACTCCCTGGCTTCACAAGAAGCTGTAACATACCTTGACCCTCTCTGCCCCGACGGGAAAGACTAGACTGGCCGTCTGCACGGTGGTGCCCAGAAAGCATGAAGGGGCCTGGCTTGCGCCCTCCTGCCCGCCCCGCCCCCCTACAGTTTACGCTCCTGGGAGATTTGGGAGGGAGGAGGTGGCACGGAGGGCTTCCCTACTCCCGGCCCTGCCTGGGCAGTGTGAGAGGGGAGGTCCCAAATGGCTTTAGGCAGGCACCCGAGAGAGAGAAATGAGAACCATGCTCAAGATAAATCGAGCCGTTCTTAAAAGTTAGAAAGTGGGCTTAATTAGGACCAGCTCTCCCCATCCAAAACCACAAAAGTTAAAATGGGAAAATATTTCCAGAAATGCCCATTATGTGTTGTTAAAAAAATATCTGGAGTAAAATATATGTTTTATTTTATACATGCCTCCAGCTAAACTTATGCTTTTCCTCTCTCTCACACACAGAAGATGGGAATGTGAACCCAAATCTAGACAGCCCCGAATCAAATTTAGGTCTCGCTGCAAGCCTTGCAGTTTTCTATCGGCAGATCTCCCTCCGGCCGCACAGGAGACACGAAGGGGGGGGGAGGGGGGGGGAGGCTCGGGTCTGGGAAAGAGCTGCTCCTGACAGGCGCTGGCACGCCCGCCGTTGCTCCTATCCCATTAAATGGCCTTCCCTGTCGCCTCCCGTTGGTGCCCGCATGGCCCATCTCTCGTCACCGTGTCTGCTGTCCTCCTCTGAACTCACGGAAGGGCCATGCGTAATTAGAACAGGTCAGCCGAGGGGGCGAGCCCGCCTCTTGTTCCTGGATGCGACCTCCAGACATCAGACACCGGGTCTCCCTGTTCGCTGCCCGTCAGCAAGTCCATTCATTGGCACCCTCGAGATGAGTCAGGCTGTGAAAGTTCATCGCTGCCTTCCAAATGGCAGGCCTTGCGTGTTTTCTCTTCTTCTTCTTTATTCTTTCAAACTACTGTGCAGAAAATGTCTCTAACTTGATTATGTTTTGAAAACTGATTTCTCCATGACAAATCAGTGCCCTTTTTCTGGAGAATGAGGCTTGGCCCCTGAGACACTCTTTCTTCCAGCGTTTCGGGGGATGGCTCAGGGTCCCTTCTCTGATTCTCCCGGATTCCTCCACACCACTTGGCCTTTCCCGCAACTGCAATTGTCCAGGTTTCCGTGCGCCCCGCAGTGGGAGCCAAGGGCTGAGCATGAGCTGTTGTTAGCTCCGCTCCGTTGGGAAAGCTCTGATGCTCCTGCTTCGGGAGGCCCGGGTTAGGGCTCGGAGGGCAGGGTGCAGCGGAAGGCAGAAGCGCTTGAGTTTCGGTGGCAGCAGACCAGCCTGCCCCCGTGCGTGCCATCCTCTCACCGCGCTAAGACAGAGGGGCCCACACCCTACGCAGTCACCCAGAGAGGAACTCAGGCCAATTTTCCCTTCTCATTTAGCTCAGGAACGCCATGGTGAACCGGAAGACCGGCAAGTTTTCCATGGAGGTGAAGAAGACGGTAGACAAAGGGGTACATCTTTTTAACTTTTTTCCTAAAACCTTCTTGGCACTTAATTTAAAACAAGCCACTGTGAGAAATTAGCTTTGAGAACTCTAATCTGGAATAAATATCTCTCCCTGAGATCATTTTTCTCTTGTCTTTACTTCATGTAGTCCTGTGACCCTGATCGCAATGTGCCCGTTCCTTTGTGTTTGTTTCTGGAAACTCCACCCCGCAGACTAACCTTGTCTCCTTTTCTCCACGGCTGTTTTTCTTCGATCCAGAAGCGGGTGTTGGTGATGACAAACGACTACTATTACACGGACATCAAGGGCACCCCTTTCAGGTAGGGCTGACCATCACCCGTGCATTCCAGCAGCCCCATCCGTGGTGTTTGCACAAAGCCTGCTGGCGCGTGCTCTGAGCGCTCACCGTCTGCAGAGGCCCAACCACCCTGCAGAGAGCGAGGAAGGGGCTGTGCCCAGGCGGCTTTGGTTTTCCAGAAGGGGGAGATGTGGAGGCGAGCCTCGGAGAACTCACTCGGTTTTCCATGGCTTTGCTTCTCAGTATGAAGTACACAAGCTGGGGGAGTTTCCGCCAAGATGGCGCTGGAGCATGCCCAGGGTTTCTCGGGCCCTTAACCATCTCCTGGGCTGCCCAGTGAGCTCCATCCACCGTTTATCTCCATGACCAAGCCGGGAACAAGCCATCAGGCATGGAGGTGGCATGCCCATCCCCACAGATGTGTGCTTCTGTTTTAATTTCTCAGAACTGCCTTCCTGTGCTTGTCGACCTTTGAGCCCTGTGATTTCTCTGCGACAACCTTGGGAACTGGCTTGGCCCCACTGCTGGCTCTTAGAGGCCTCTGTGGCATGTGAAAATCCCCACTTCTAGTAATTTTACTTGTTAACCCTTTCTGTTAAAAAAAAAGCAGTTTCGCTCAGGCTGCTTCATGCTTCCGAATGAGTGCCTGGCAGAGCGCTCAAAAGAGCATGTGTCACCTCTTACTTTAGCTCAGAAAGAAATGCTCGCGTCAGTATCAGATATGGCCCGGGGTCATTGGGTGGATTCCTTTTGGAATCAATGTCGCACAAGTCACTAATTGGGTTTGCCAAATGAGAAAGATTGTGTTCCAAGATGTAGTCTCCTACTTTCGGCAAGAACAGAGAGGAACTTAAATCAAGACGATAAGCATCAGAAAACTCCATTAGACCTGAGATAGGGTGGGACAGAGGTGCTCAACACCATCTGGCGGCGGCACTCAAGTGGCAATGGAAGCTGTTGTGCCTACTCTTAAGAGGACTCCATTTCCCCTTGCCCAGCTCTGAGGTCTAGAAAGGCCCATCTGTGGTGAGAGGCCGGGGTGGGAGGTCGCACGTGGCAGTGCAGAGCAGGGAGCCGGGCCCTGAAGCTAGGATTCGGAGGCCGGGCTTGCTGGAAGGGCACGTAGTTGGCCACACCTCTTAACGACACCGGGAGCAGCCAGTTGTTGCTGGCACTTCCAGTCAGAAATGACTTTGAAGCAGCTGATTGAATCTAAGAAAAACCAACACCAACTATAATCAGTGGGGTTTTGAAAGTAAACTAAACTGTTCAGGGGAAAAAAATGTTTACAGAACACGAAATGGAAATGTGAAAAAGGAAAATAAAAATGTTAGCCGCAAGTCTATCCCGGTGGGTGCCATGTATTTCAAGGTCTGCTCTGTTTCTCTGCACAGTTTAGGTGTGGCGCTCTCCAGGGGCCATGGGCAGTATTTCTTCCGAGGCAACGTGACCATTGAAGAAGGTAAGGTTACTCTGTCCATCCCTTTCCCAGGGTGTTTGACCAGACCAATTGTCCGCCTCGTGTCACCCCTCTTTCAGACCAGTGGGAGCCCAGATTAGTAGTGGTTTTCTTGTCATTATAATTTTACGGATTTCCAACTCCTGGGTAGTGCAGATGGTTTGCATGCTTGACTGCTGATTAAGAGGTTGGTGGCTCGCTCCTGACCCAATGCACCTCGGAGGGAAAGGCTGGAGAGCTGCTTCGGAAACACCAGCTGCAGACACCCGAGGAGCACCAGGTCGCCGCCGTCAGAGTCCACGCCACAGTCATGCTGCTCAGCTTTTGTTTCCTCCGGCAAAGTGGCAAAGACCACTCTTCTCCCACCTACACACCAACCCACGTTGACGTGGGAACTCACACGCTCATATGGGGGCTAGTCTTCTAAGGAGATGAACCGCAGATTTGACCTGGGCTCCTGGCTACTGTGGATTAAAGAGACCATGTTCATTTGAATGATTGATATTAATCAGAATGAATAAGTAGCACCCAAGTTCCCAATTCCAATTCTTGTCGTCACAAAAAATCAACACATAGTATCCTTCCAGTAAGCTTTACAGCTGCAGACACACACAGACCACCTTTCTGATCTCCCAACAAGTCAGTTAGCTCTATGGCGATGGTAGTATCCTAGACAGGAGGGAACTGAGATACAAAGGGTCACTTTCCCCATATCCCGAGCTCACAGAGGGGGAGATCGGGAGCTTACATGTTAAGGGCTTTGCGTCCTGAGTGACCAGCAATGCGTCCGTTGCTCAGCTGGACATTAGGTTTTGCGTGTTTACAGAGGGAGGTGCTGGACCAGACTCGTGCTCCTTTTAGTGTTTTCAAGAGTATGGCCAAGAGCAGGACGGGCCATTACCAGTGAAACATGCGTTGGTTTGAGCTGGTTACAGATGAATGTGATAACTTTCAGAAGCTGGACCACCCCGTGACTCACTCACACGGGGTCTGGAGATACAGCATCTCAGGACGGGTCCTGTGGTCCCCAGTTCCATAGATGCCCTGTGGTCAACTGCTAACTCGTCATACCTTGTTTCACAGATAATGGGTTTTGTCTCTCAAGGGATTGTGAGATCCTGAGGAAAGGAAAGGAGAGTTGAGGATTTCATGATGAGCCCGGTGGAGTCCAGAGTGTGTCCACCACAAAGATAATGACGTGGGCTCTCTTCCACGAGGTATTCAAGAGAGAAAAATGCAGCACTGTGACTTGGGCAAGATACTGAACAGAATGTCATCACAGAGATCTTTAAAGCAAACCAAAGCATCTTACAGGGTTTTCTGGCTTTATGGGCTCTGTGCACATCACTGCCCAGGCAGACAGCAAAGTCCTCTGTCAGCCGTCTGAACCCAAGCTGAGGAGCAGCTCCCATTCAGAGCCAGAGAGGAGGTTACTCACTGAGTACAAGGAAGAAGGAAACGTTCTCGAGTTGATTGTGATCAAGATTGTACAACTCTTCTGGATACGATTGAACTAATGGGGATGAAGAGCCAATAAAACTGTTCTAAGAAAAAGAAAACTTAAAAAGAAAAGAGGTTATTAATCGACCCCTCAACCCTGCTGCATGGACCTGCCCTTCCCTCCTCTTCTCTTCTCTCTCTCTTTCTCTCTCTCTCTCTCTCTCTCTCTCACACACACACACACACACACACACGCACACACACATACACACACACGCACACACACACACATTTCCTTTGGATCCTTTCTTTAGTCAGTATCTTGGATGCTTACAGCTGAGGAGTCTCACAGACAGACTTTCAGAGCTAACTGTAACCACCAAGTAAGAAATCGCTCTGAACCCTCTCCAAGAGCTAGGGTCTTCTCTGTACGAATGAAGTCATATCCCCCTCTCTCCGACGGTCTCTTAAAGAAACGGACTTACAAGCCTGCCAACTTTGCAGATTAATAGCACCCGAGAAAGCTGTTTCCCCTGGGCTAACTAGTAGAGGATTGTGTCGTCCTTAAGAGCTGTTCCTTAAGGGTCGTTCTACTCTGTTCTTGGAGAATGAAGATGGCCCTTGAATCTCCCATGAGGGATACTGTCATACTGAATATAGGCCTTTTACATAGGGTTTACCAATGCCAGGTATTAGGAAAATGGTGAACAGGTAGACTTTGCTCAAACATATAAGTAGTGGTTGAAGCCATTGAACTGTAGCTCTGCCAGATGCAATAATTCTCTCTGAACCTCTATGCCCCTTTATCTGTTTCACCCATGTGTATTACGCATACTGGTCATTCAAGATACATGAGAGCCTATGCAATTTGCATTGTCAGCATTATCAAATGCCAGTGGAAATGATTATGTGTGGAAAACCCGAATTAGGGGTGAATTAGAGAAAATTAAATCCTTTTGACTTCCTAGGAACTGAGAGGAAGCAATGCAAAAGGGCTATCCTTCAGAACTTAATTGATTTTGCAAGAAGTGAGATGTAGCCAGAGAGGACTCTGCAGATGAACACTGCATGTGCTGAGCCTGGAAACACAGATACAATGAGCTTCTCTGACACGGCGTTCAGAACGGTTCAGCCCTCAACACCTTTCCTTTGCCGTGCCCTCTGCCTTGAGCCCTGCTCTCCCAGGTCTCACGTGACTCTCTCCAGGTCCTGCTTTTCCTCACCACCCTGTTTCGATATGAAGCTCTTTCTCATCTCTTAGCTTTCCCTTTCCTTCCTCCCACACACCATCCATCCATGGTGTGCTCTTTATTTTACTTGTCTCTTCTACTTGATGAAGTCCCACAGTGACAGTACCTTTCCTTCTGCTCATTGCTGGTCTCTCAGGGCCCAACATAATGTCTGGCACCTAGTCAATGCTCTGTAAATACACGGAATGGAAGGAGGGAGAGAGAAGGAAAGGCAGGAAGGAAGAGGGTTGGGCTTGAGGGATGGAGGAAAGGATAAGTGGATGAATGGATGGATAGATTGATCTTACTCAAGACCAACCATTATACCATTTACCCTTCATTTAATCTGTGAATTAGGCATTGTTTTTTCAGATATCATGGTTAATATAAGTTGGAGAGGAGATGTGAACCAGGATATGTCCACCTGGGTGAACTGTGATGATGATATTCAGTCTCACTCATTCTCGGATTCTTGTAAAATAAGCATGGGTCGACTGACTCAATATCCTCTATTGTGGTATTTGAGGGGCAACTGGGATCATGCGTGCAGTCATAGGCTGGGGGTCATATGGGGAGTTCTGGATCAAAAATAGACTGTGAGCACCGTCACCATTGCTGGGGTCATCGCTCAGATGTACGTCTCTGCTGTTGGCCTGCTAGGGTCCAGCTAGAAGGAAATGTAAGGGAAAAAGGGCAGGTTCACGGAATCAGGGAGGCCGGGAGCACTGTATAAAACTCTCCAGTTCCCTGCGAGCTCCGGCTCCCTGTGCAGACCCACACCCCTATTCACTCTGTGTCCTGGGTCAATTAGCAATCGGTGCTGGGCAGCGCCCACTTTAGAGCATGGAGTCCATCATGGCCTCCTCCCAGCCACTGACCAGTCAGGGGCTGTCATCCTTCTGTTTGCACACAAGGAAACGGGCATCTCGAAAAGCCAAGTTATCCGCTCAAGGACACACCGGTGTTTGGGGCCTAGCACGGTGTTGGTGGCAGGCTACAGCGGCGCCAAGGAGCCCTGTGCCAGCTTGTTTGCACGTCGGGTTGCTGCCACCCTGCAGAAGAAAGATGGGACTTTCTCCTCCTGCAGAGGAGCACACTCGGGACCTTGCACCCGTCCTCTGGGGCTGCTGGGCGTTGAAATGGACTGGACAGCAGTTGCTTTGTCTTTGCCTTTTATTGGCTCTGAGTCATTATTTCTGCCTCTGCGAGGCTTTGCTCCTAGTTCTGGTGTGACATGTCCCTTCAAGTCGCCAAGGCACTCCTGGGAGACACAGCCAGGCAGGTGGCACAGAGGGTGAGAACGGTAGACAAAGGGAGAGAATTCTGCCCAAGAAGAAAACTCATTTTCCTTGGGCAGTTTCCATTCCCAGGCAGAACCCTTTGAGCTGCTGTCTACCCTTAATCCCTCCATAGCCTAGAAGCACAAGGAAGGTTGGGGTCGGGGTGGGGGGGGCAGGGTGATTGCCGCCCATGGGCAGCATATTCTCCGTCTCCCCTTCTGCTTGCTCCCCAGGCCTCCACGACTTAGAGCATCCCGATGTGTCTTTGGCAGATGAATGGTAAGAGTTAAGCAGTCCGTCAGCTCCTGTGATTGCCTGTTGTTTGAGCTCTCTTGCCCAGTCCCCCTGGCTCCAAGGAGAACGACAGTGATGGCCTCACGACTGACCTGCTCTTGCTTTGGGCCCTGTCACTCTCTTAGGTCCTACTGCAACACTGACCTACACCCCGAGCACCGCCATCTGTCTCAACTTGAAGCGATGAAGCTCTACCTCAAAGGCAAAGAGCCTCTGCTCCAGTGTGAGTCTGCTTCCCGGCACCTCTTGAGTGTACCTGTGGCCATGGGGTTGCGGGGCAGGAAGAGTGAAGGAAAGACCCTGTTTGGCCTCAGCTTTCTAGGAAAGCTTTGCTTTGTGCCGAAACCACGAGTCACGTGAAATCCAGCCAACCCTGCTTCCTATGTCTCTTCAACTGTGTCTCCCCACCCCCCACCCCCCACCCCCCACAGGTGATAAAGAATTAATTCAAGAAGTTCTCTTTGACGCTGTGGTGAGCGCTCCCATTGAAGCGTATTGGACCAGTCTGGCCCTCAACAAATCTGAGTAAGTGGTTGCACGTGTCCCCCTTCCATGGCCATTTCCTCATGAGCGGCCCAAAATATGGTTATGGTTTAAGAACTAAACTGTTGTAGGAGGCTGGTGTTAAAGTTCTTTAATTTCCCCCAAAGCTCCCGACCACAAGGGCTAGGGCAGATTAGCGGCTCTGGCTTGGATGGTGAGCTCCGGATTTGACATATAATTTGTTTGAGTTTGAACATTACATGAAATTTGGTATGCTGAGGTAGGGTGACCCTTCTGAGAGAGAATGACAGTGAGAGAGAGAGAGGCGGAAGGAACACTTTGCTTCCTGCCTCGCCAGGGCTCTCTGTCTTTGACAGTCTTGAGGGACCTTGGGCCCAGGGCCAGGTTGGGTTGTGAACAACGTGGGGAGGGAGGGCTCGGTTTCATTAGAGTGTCCAGTGAGGCCCTGTGCTTGCATTTCTGGAACAGGTGGCTTCAGGGCAAGGGGCCAGACGATGGGAGTTGTCCCCAGTGGTTGAGATGTTGCTGCTCCGGCAGCTTACCATTAGTGCGATTATTTTGAGTGGCTTTTAACAGATTCCAAATACGAAGCTCCTTTTTTTTGTTTTCATCTTGAGAGACTCGATTCATGTCTCTCCGAACTTCTGTTGTCCGTTCGCTCCGTTCCTCCTTGCACTTCCCCAGCTCTCCCTGGGAGCTCGCAAGTGGTCCTCACTTGCCATGCGTTCAGTCCCCAGATACTCTCTGTGCACCAGCTAGGGGCGAAGACCTGGGCTAGGTGTTGGCAGGTTGGGAGTAACCAAGACAGACACCGCCCGCCAGCAGAGTACATAGTGCGACATCTTGTGCTAATTGCTTTGAAGAAAGGTCATGAAGGGTAGCCTCTAACAGGAGCTACAGGGGAGGCAAAAGGCTGGGCAGGCTTTCTTGAGAAGGAACTAGCTCAAGGTGGGGAACAGCATATTCACATCCCTGAGGAGAGAAGGTATTTGGTCTATTTGAGGACTTTAGTGGTTATGCACTGGGCTGTGATCTGCAAGGTCAGCAGTTCAAATCACCAGCCTGCTCCAGGGGCTTCCTGCTCCCATTGAGAGTTTGTCTAGGAGACTCACAGGGGCATCTGTACCCTGTCCTACAGGCTCACTGGGAATTGGCATCGTCTCAATGGCAGTGAGTTTGGTTTTGGTGAAAGGCCATCGGACTAGAAATGTAGAGGGAGCAAGCTTTGGGAGATACTGGGACGTGTAGCTGAAGAGCAGTCAAGTGACTCAGGGCCTTGGGAGATAGGGGAGGGCTTCCAGATTTCATATATTGGAAAATTATTGGGGATTTTAAGAAGGTAATACACGTGATCGAATTCGCATTTAAAAAACAAAATAAACAACCCCTACTGTTCAGTAGAGAACAGAGTGCAATGTGCCAAGAATGGAAATAGAGGCTCCTCCCGGACTCCAAAGGATTTGCTACTTGGATTTGGATGGTGACAGGGGCCAGAGAGAAGAGGTGCACTAAAGTGTGCTTCCGCAGTGAGCCACACAGCGCTTCAAAGATGGATTTTGTGTGTGAGCCGTGCCAACTGAGGGAGGCTGAGCCCGCAGGAGCATGCCTGGGTTTATCCCGTGAGCACCTGGGCAGTGGCGTCGCCATCTGCGGACACAGGACACACCCGAGGAAGGACAGGCTTGGGAGTGGGCACAGATAGAATTCCCCTCTGGACGTTTCAACCTGAACCAGTCTCCCAAGTGGGCCTGGCAGGTGACTACACGACCGGAGCAGCAGAGAGGGCCTGTCGTTCTTCGTGTGGGTCTGCCTGAGAGGCTTTCCTCCATGGAGAGTACTGGTTGGGAAAGGTCAAAGCCTTTCCTGGGCTTCCTTTTGCTAGTGGTTGTGGAATGACTCTTCGTAGGCTCTCGTGAGACTGAAACTCGTAGGCAAAGCTATGGACTCATTCCTGACACATGCAAGAGATTTCCAAAATGGTAGCTCGCTTTGTAGTCCACATCTGTAACTGATTGGACACTTGGCTTTCCAATTTGGTGTGGCCTACAAGCAGAAACAAATGCCTAGCACGGGCTTTTATTCACCCCGTAAGTACTTAGAGGTAGCATTGACCACTTTGCTGTGCTGTCAAAGATCAACTAACCAACTGATCCTACATTGAAGATGACGTGGATAATGCTTTGGATCAAATTGCTACTAGCATCCAGGGCGGGCAGGCAAGGTCAAGAATCGGCGTTCTCTCCGTACTTTCGTTGCAGAATAAAGTTACATGTTTGCGGAAGAAGGCTATTTGCTTTTTCGGAAGGAAAAGTATGCATGCACATCCCCTGGGAGACATGTTCAAACATAAAATTTGCTTTGGAAGTTTAAACAAAATCATCTTTAGTGAATTTTCCAATTAGTTTCCCTTGCTAAGGCCATTCTTAAGGTTCCGACAAGCATTCAACGGGGCTATTTGAAGACGGCGGGAAGCAATCTCTTTACTCATCTCTTCAGGGCTGGTAGTGAGATGAAGGAGCCTGCTCTGGCAGGAGTTAAAAGGCAGTGGCCCCACAGCTGGGTGGGATTCAGGAAGAAGACGTATCTAGGCTGCCTGACACCACAGCCTTGATTCGGTGGCTCCCCACCTTATCCTCCCCAAGGGCAGTCTACGGACGACCCCGCACACAGGGTAGGCCTGGTAGCTAGCTTCCTCTCCGTGGAATGGTCCCATGCCCAGAACTGGCTGGTACTCTCAGCCTCACACCCACAACCTTGAGCTATGGGCTGGTTTCAAAGGGGGGGGGGGTGCATTTCCTCATGTTGCTCTTGTTGGCCGGGGTGCCCTCTCTCTTGTAAGAATTGCACCCTCGAAGGGCATTGGGGCTCGGGGACTGGAGTCCGTAAGTATGCATGTTTCCATCATTTCTTTTCGAGTTCAGCTTTCAAAACTGCTATGGCACAAAACCTTTCTGGAGTCTTACAATCCAAAGGGTGTTATCTTTTGCAGACAGTCTGGAAGTGCCCCCTATCCCACCCCCCACCCCACCTCTGCTGTCCGCTGCTCTGTTTCAGGAACTCTGACAAAGGCGTGGAGGTGGCCTTCCTTGGCACACGCACTGGCCTTGCGAGAATCAACCTGTTTGTTGGTGCTGAACAGCTCACCAATCAGTAAGTAGGAGGCCCTGCCTCTTCCCCTCCTCAGGAGCCCAGAGGAAGAGCCTGGGTCCTTTCTCCCCCCACAGAGACCTCAGTGAGCTTGCCACAGCCTCCTGACATGCTGTCTCCCTGGTCTCCCATGCACCGGCCTCAGTGTGTGTGTCCACCTGCCGGCTGGCCCTTCCACGTGGTGTGCTGGCTTCCATGCACCCGTGCACCTGGAGTCCTCTCACAGGAGATGGTGCTTCTGAAAGCCCTGGAGTTGGTGTGGCAGCCAGGGGGAAGACAGCCCCTGGGTCCCCCGAGCTCTGCTGAGGACTCTGCCCTGTGGCATGGCCGAGCCATGCGTCTAGTTGCTTGTTTGCTTGTCTGTTTGGGTTTTAATGCCTCTGCCCTCAGCCGGGGACCAGCAGGAGCAGGCATTCAGAGAACACTTGTCTGGCTTCCCTGTGCTCCCAAGGGCACCTGGGGGCATGGTGGGCAGAGCGTTCCTGAGCCCATGACTCAGGTGCTCGATAAACCACCCCGGAGTCCCTCTGTCCTGAGAGAGCAGCGACCCAGAGCTCAGCAACGCGTTCTTCCAGCAGAGCCGGTGGGAAGTCACTTCTGACCCAGTAACCAGAGGGATTGCTCAGTCAGGGACACGTGGGACCTTAAGAGGCAGGCGATTCCAGAGTGGTTTCCAAGCGTCTGTCTGGGAGTCCCGAGGTTATCACAGAACTCATGCACCCAGACCTTTCGGGTGTGCAGGTGTGAGTAAACAAGCCACAGGTGGTGCCACTCTAGAGGGCCTGGCCCCGCAGGAGGGACGCCATCAAAACCCAGGTCAGAGCCAAGCTGGCCTGTTACTGCCGCCCTGCTCCCGCTGGCATCGAACCCGGCCAGGCACAGGGAGGGCCTGTTGTCACACGCTCCTGGGGAGGGGCTTCTAATCCCCATTCCACAACCTTTGTTTTCACAGCTTTCATTTACGAATGTAACCTTGCATGTGGCTCAGTACGAAAGACCAGAAGTGTGGAGAGTCATGTTGTGTCTCCTCTTTTAGGATCGCAGAGGCTAAGGGAGACACGGAGATATATGTTCTAGGAGCCTGGGGGTCACATGTCGGGCTGCTCACTGAGAGTCTGAAACCACCAGTCACTCCCAGGGGGGAACATGAGGCTTCTACCCCTGCAAAGAGCTTCCGCCTCAGGAACACCCCACCCCCAGGGCCAGTTCCACCCTGTCCTGCAGGGCGGCTGTGCAGTAGAAGGACCTCAGGGTGATGAGGGTGGTTTCTTTGGTTTCATGTTCAGAGGGGAAGCTACGTGTGGGAGAGGAGTGTGGAACACACACACATGACTGCAGCGACATGGCACCGTGCTGGTCTGCAGCCTGGGTCACTGTGACATAGCTGCACGAGGACAAGTCTGTCTGGATGTATGAGCGTGGAATGTGTGCGCCTGCACACTGCTGCTCATCTGAAACGCATGGCTACTGTGAGAGCCACAACCACAAAGGGTCACAGTGCATTGTGAACTTGAATCTCAGTGGGCTCACCCTGAGCCACGTGGGGATGACTTTGTGAGTCTCTGAATGGATGAATTATTCTGTAAGATAACTCACATCATTGACTCACACAGAGGTATCTTCACACCTATGTTTTAGGGTCTTTTACCTGCCTAAAGCAAATGGACTTCATTATGATCCATCCGACTTTGGCTGGAAGATTTTAAAAATTCTACAGTCAAACTCTTAGAATTTCGGGTTTGTGTTTAGTTTTGTTGTGGTTTTGTGGCAGTGGATTGGACAGGGCATGTAAGGCATAATTCATATTTTGGGACCTGCACTTGGAACCGTCATGTACCCGACCACCACCTGAGAGCACGAGATATTAGGCAGTTTCCATCCCTGAGTTCCCACATACGATCTTCAGCCCCTACACTGAGATGCCAACACCCATCCCCACCGTTCATATTTGGAAGTCCACCACGTATAGCCTGTGCCCTCAGTAACACGAGCATCTCCTCCAGTGTGAACCACACATTCCATGTGTGCAGTCCAGCCTCTTGTATCACCACATATATGGTATCCAGGGATGCCGACCTTCACCCTGGGGTTCAAGGTCTCCCGCAGTCCCAGTGTAAGAGAGGGGGTCACACGGAAGAGAACAACACGAGTTCCTGGGATGGAAGCATCCCCTGCATTTGTCGAGCTTGCTTCTACATATGATGTTAAAAATTTGAAAGTGTCTTGACCAGTGAGCCAACAAATCCAGATGCACCACTGTCAAGTCGACTCCAAGTCACAGCAGCTGAGGACAGAGGAGATAGGCCTGCCTGTGCGGGTTGCTGAGACTGCCGTTCTTTATGGGAGTCAAAAGCCTCATCTCTCTACCATGGAGAAGCCGGGGGCTTCACAGGGCAGACCTTGTGGTTCTCAGCACAGCCCAACCTATAACCCATTACGTCACCAGGGACCCTTCCTGGAGAAGCGAGGTGTGATTGTTCCCATTCCTGTAGGTGACTACATGATGGCTCAGACACTCCGTAATTGACGCAGGGTCACCCTGCTCTGCCCATAATGTACACATTCCCTCTTCCTTAAAACCGTACCAGGTCCTAATACCTAGACTTGCCCTTTCATCTCACCCAGAAGATTCATTCTTCCTGGAGAACAGTTTTGGGGTTCTGCACACTCAGTTCTCGCCTGCCTGCCTCCTTTCCTGGCAGGCCTCCCAGCAGCCCCCATCTGCCTTGCACCCTGGAACCGCTGTTAACGATGATCAAGTGTTACGGGCTCCTCGTTGCTGTTCTGGGGCTAGTATGGGGCAGTGCAGTAGACATCTAGGTGAGCAGTTTCAGACCTGCCACCATCAAAGCCTGAATGCTACTGTCAGTGTAAGCGAGGTTCACCCACACCTTTTAAGAAAGCATATAGCAAACCTACTGTGACTGGCGGTGGGGGGGTGGGGGGGAGGAGAAGGTCCCCTTGTGTCACCGTCCAGGCTGCCTAGGAAGAGCACCTCCCTCTCAGTGACTATGTGCTTCACCCCTGACGAGAACCACAGCATAGCAATGCCTCTGTCCAGCCACAGCTGTGCCCACGCCCCAGCGGGAGGGGGGCTGTTCTTTCTACCTATAGGCCTGGGCAGTACAGATTTCCTCACCCACCTGTCCAAGTCAGGTTTCTGAAGAGAGGGGCAGGGGAGGGACAATATCAACATTTGTGACACCTGGTAATTTGGGGGATAGGACGGGTCCCCACTCAGTACTGCAGAGCTCCCTGGGACTTATCTGTCACGTCAACCCTGGATGTCTCTTCCGCTGGCATTCAGCGCTCTTTCAGCCCCACTCCTGAGGAAGCCAGCGCGCCATTGGAGAGCCGCGTGCTCTTGCCAAACTGCAGTCGATCTCCACGTGCACATTCTGCTGCTGGAGTGTCGCTGGTGAGCAACGCCAGATTGGATCTGCTCTGACCACTGCCAGGAAACACACAGGGTCATGGCGGCGTGGGCACTTACATAGAACAATGGCTATACTGATGGGGGGATTCAGGGGGAAAAATAAGAAATACTATTTTTCTGAAAGCAAAAGAAATTATCTTTAGTACTTGAGGAATTTCCATCGAGCTATGGAGAGCGCTTTATTCTGTGATCATTAAGTGCCTACTGAGGACTTGGCTCTGGGGATAATGGAAACACTGAGGAAGGACACGAAGATCAAAGTCTCAGAGAGGCAGAGTCAGCGTCAGATGAGAGCTTCAAGGAGCGGGCCTCAGGGACATACGAATCCACCATCTTGAATAAGGTCAGAGGATCCCTGGTTGACCAAACCTTAAACTATCGTGTGCTGTTTTGTACTGACTCAGAGCCTGGTCACAGAGAGTTTCCAGTACCCAGCTCATCATGAGTTCCATCATTCTCACCGTGGGCTAGCGGACCCGGCCCATGCTGCAAGCTCCTGGACCGAGAGACCGGACCACTCCCGGTCCAACTGACAGCCGCTTCCTTTCCCACGCATGTCCCGACAGCTCTCCTCTCCTGAGAGATCTCTGTGAGAGCGGAGAGGCCGGGGCATCTTCTCCCTGTTTGAATTGCAGTGTGACCACCAAGATGAGACACTGAGGCCCTGCAGAGTACAGGTGGCTTTGGGGAAGCACGTGAACTCGACGTTCATTGAAACTTCAGATGTTTAAGGCTGTTGAAGGATGAGGACCTCCGAAGAGAGATCCCCTCCGCGAAGGTCTTAGAAGGCTTTGGAGAGAGAGCACGCATGGCCGGCCTGAAGGGCTCAACAACGTAACAGGCTGCGTGAGAGCAAGCGGCTGTGGACCCAGAGGGGCCAGGGCTCTGGGCTCCAGACTCTTGGAGGCGTCTCTGGAAAAGAGCATGGCTTTCACAGGGAGAGATGGGAAGGGAGTGAAGGTAACTGGTGGACAGAGCATGCCCCGGGCAGAAGGCAGAGGGTGGCCAGAGGGAGCCGCGAGCTCTGTGTGCCTAGAAAAGAGGGGGCTCTGTAAGAAGGAGTCCAAGTCCAACGCGAACCTGCTTTGACCTCGCTCTAATTGTTCTACAATCAGCGCGCTGTGCCGACCAAGTGGCCCTCTTCTCCCCGAGTGCGTGTGTGCTTCGGGGCAACTGGGGCTCGCTCAGGCTTTCTGGGTTAAAGAGGACTCCGCTTTCATCTTCTGCCAGGAGCCTTGGTGGAATCGTGGTTCCACAGGGGGGGGGGGGGGGGCTGCGGACCATGGGGTCGGGAGTTCCAAACACCCAGCCTCTTTCTCCGTGGGGGAGAGATGGAGACGCCTGCCCCTTAGAGAGCTGTCATCACAGGATCAGTCCTGCCCTGTGCGCCAGGTCACTGTGCGTGGGAGTCGACTTGATGATAGGACGTAAGCAAAAGTTAGGGTTCTGACAGTATTTGGGGGGCTTTTTTAACTTCGGGCTTCAAGAGTGATGTTACTAGATGTACTAGAAGAAATAATTCCCCCCAGGTAAATTTCCAGAGCTCTCCAAGGTATGTGTCGATGACCCCGGGTGCACAGAGCTGCCTTGGGCCTCCTCTCCCCAGGAAGGCAGACGAGGGTTCTGAAAGTCAGCACACCACGGCGGCAAAGACTGTCCGGATATGACTCAGTCTGTTTTGGGGTGCGCATTATGATGCCCATCCTGTCCTTTTTTTCTTTTCAAGGGACTTCCTGGCAGCTGGAGACAAGGAGAACATTTTTAATGCTGACCATTTCCCTCTGTGGTACCGAAGGGCTGCAGAGCAGCTTCCCGGGAGCTTCGTCTACTCCATCCCGTTCAGCACAGGTGGGTGCCCTGCTGGCGGTGGGTTGCAGGGTCTTCCTGTCCCCACAGCCAGCACCCTGTGCGCAGAGGGAGTGGCTCTGCCTGAAGATGGCGGGGAGGGGGTGGGGGGTGGTAGGCGTGACCAGGCCGGAGGAGGAGGCCCCATGCCGATGCGGAGCCCCAGGCCACTCCATACATGGCATGGCCTCCCATCCAAGGGAGGTTTTGCACCATGAAATGGCGTAAAGAGCATTTCAGGGAGCAGGCCTGGAATGTCATGCCTTGTAGGATCTGGATACCAACTTCTCAGTAGATGCTTTTTTAATGTTGTCTTGTGGGGCCAGTGACATTTTCTTCCCGCAGATTTTATGACTTACAAAAAACTTAAGGTGACGTCCCTTCAGACTGAATTCGGTGCCATTTATGTCGCCAGGCTTAGAAGCAAGAGAGCGGAAAAGGCAGGCCAATCGTATTTGGCTTTTTTCTGATGTCAGTCATTTGATGTTGCTTACGGACCCTGTGTGCAGGGTCTTGCACTGAGCAATGGAACCAACTTTCAGAGTTGAGTGAAACCTGGTTTTCTAAACTGGGATTGCTCTGGACACCTTGACCTAAACATACCATTGCTACAGAGTCAATGCCAACTCATAGTGACCCTACCAAACAGAGTCAAACTGCTCCTTAGGGCTTTCAAGACTGTACATCTTTCCAGGAGCAAACAGCCTCATCTGTCTGGAGAGGAGCTGCTAGTGGGCTTGAACCACCAACATTGTGGTTAGCAGCCTAGCATTAGACCCGTTGTGCTACCAGACTCCTTGTTTTGCCTACAGTTATAGTTAATGTTAAGGACTTTTGTATTCAGCTTTCACAAGCATTCCTAACCCCACTGTAAAAGGGATGCTGCATTTTCAGGGTAGAGAGTCTTAATCTCTGAGTGTAGATGATTTCTCATTTCCCCGAGTAAAGACATTTTCCAACATAGTGCTTTTGAAATCCACAGAGGATGTGATGACCAGAATTGGTCAGTCATTTGCTAAATGCATTCCTTAGGATGAGGACCCTCTATTCCTGAAGATATCCAAGTAAAGATAAATATTATTAGCTAAATCCCCTTCGCTGAGTGAGATTTCAAAGGACTTCATTGATTATATCCCTTTCTAGCCTAAGAGTCATTGAGCCCTTTGTCAGGGGCCTCTGTGAACACACTCCCATATACTTGACTGCTAATCGAATGATTGGCACTTGGGACCGGCCAGCCACTGTGCCGGACAAAGACGTGGTAGTTTGCTTCCGTAGAGTGCCGTCTTGGAAACGAGGGGCACTTCTCTTGTGTCCTGCTGGGTCTCTCTGAGTTGGATTCTACTCAAGTGCTACAGATTTAATTTTGTTTTTGTGTCACTTTTCAGCCTTTCTCTCTATATTTAGCTCCATCACACTATACTGCTGAATTGTCCACAGAGAGGCAGTGGACTCTTCTTTCCGCTTCTCTCCTCTCAGCCATCCTTTCCTCTGACCAGGCAGCTTCCTGGGGCTCCTGCTTCACAGTGCTCGCAAGAAAAAGCAGAACTTAGCCTCCCAGAGAGCAGACATGGGGAGCTGATTTCTGTTTTTCCTGGTCCCACCCCAGGGGCACCATCAAGCTCTCCCAGAGCGACGGTAGCTTTTCCCTACAACCACGCAGGGTGCGCATCCGTGGGGGATGAGGGCAGGCTCTGAAACCGCCTTGTGTGTGTGTGTGTGATAGACTCTCATGTCACATGGCTTTCTTACTATTCTGTGTTTTTCAAAATAACAATTACATATCGATGTAACACATAAAACACTCTGTAGCTGAATTGGCTTGGGGCAAATAGACATTTCATTGTACGTCCAGTCTGGTCCCAGAATGAAAGGAAATTCACCTTACTCAGAGTCAAGTTATGAGTGACAGCATATTAGGAGCGATCATGAACCCTGAAGATTCAGGGGAAATATTAGGAACCAAGTCAAAGTCGTCGTGGTGGAAATCGCTCTCATGTTCCCTACTCTGTAGTCAACACCTCTATCTGCTCCTTGGACTTCGGGCAGGAACCACTTCTTGATCGTGTCAGTTGTCACCGCATCTCAGTCCAGATCTGCTCTTTAGGTGCTTCTCAATTCCATGGGTCGATTCAACTCCCATCTGAATGGCATCTTCATGAGGCAGCCTGCCCGCCCACCCTCAGTAGCAACGATTAACCACGAGCATTCAGAAATTGTGTTCAAGTGCTCTTAGTGCATAGGAATTGGAGCCCTCATAAATAGTTGAAAATCTCTTAAAACTAATACCCTATTGTTGGGACATGAGTAAGTGTTTGGAGTGAGCATTGCATTCCAACCCTCTCTCTTGTTGAGAATCATTTTACTCGGTAATACTGGGCTTCGAATCAGAACTTTGTGAATCAGTAAAATGCTCATCAACAAATCAAAGCTAAAGCTCCCCATTCATAGCCAGAGTAGTTCTGAACTTTTTCCCCTGAAGCTTTCCATAGCTGTATTTAGAGAGACAATGCAAAGAGTAGCCACAAACTATCCAAAAAATGGGCATCTCTGTGTTGGTCAATAATTCCAGTGGGAGGAAGCTAGATAGCCCCCAGCGTGCGTGGTGGGAGCTTGGTGTGTTGACACCTGCATCCTGAGGAGACGTGCTACACAGCTCTAATGGTTTAAGAGTGTGAGCGGGTCACCTACAGCCCACGTTACCTGACGCTCTGGGAACCACACCCTAGTACAGTGTGCAGAATTAGTGCCTGGACCAATATGGCTACTGTCTTCACAGCTCCATTCTAACAGTCTCCATGGCTTGTTTTTCCTCACAGGAACTGTCAACAGAAGCCATGTGGTGACAGCAAGCACCGCCATCCAACTCCTCGATGAGCGGAAATCCCCAGTGGTGGCAGGTAAAAGATGGGGTTGCGTCGGTGAATGTAACACCAGCCTGAAACTCTTGCCTGGCCATCCCACCTCGTCTGTGCAGTCCAGCAAGCTGCTTTGGGAGGCAGTTAAAAATGACTGCCCTGTACTGAGCGCCACCCCTTCACAGTAGGCCGCTGACACAGCTGTTTGTGTTTGATTTGAAAGTAGGAATCTTTCCCATGAGTTTTGTCCCCAGGTATCCTGCTAGTAAGCATGGGCAGGGCGTGCAGAGGAGAGCTGATGCAAGCAGGTAGCTCGCTCATTGAAAGTCAGCTCGGGATCACCCGCTCCCGGACCAGCGGGCGAGCAGCAAACCTACCAGGAGCGTGTGGCTTGTTTTGGGCAAACATGAGCTAAACTATACCCTTTCTCAGAGAGATTGAGATGGCATCACCCTAATTCACCTCACCCCACTTCTGCCCCAGGGAGAGGAGTTAGAGTTGGATGATGTATCGAAAGGTGCTAGGTTTGGAATCGGGGTGGGGGGAGGGGGGTGGGGATCCAAAACCAAAACACCACAGAGCATTTTGCTACTGAGAGTATTGAATTGTGGGAGCCACCCTGTCTCTCCTGGACCTCATCTCCCAGGACTATCAGTTGATGTTCTCTGGCTGATGGGGCGGGGATGGTGGTGGTGGTTATGGATGGGATTTAGAGTCAAGAATAAGAAATTTCGACAGGCCCTCCTTTGAGGACGGCTGTTGACAGAAACAGGGCCAGAGACCAGGGGTGGCACAGAGTCACTATCTCGGAGAAGGATTGGATGCATTATTTGCCGGGTGGGTCGTCCTTTCTGTCTCCAGCCCTGAATCACCTAGGCTGACTCAAGGAGGCCTCTCTGCTTTCCCACAACCTTCCTCAATGAGTTGTCCCTCTGATGACTTTGTATATCAGCGTCCATCTTTGCATGCTGCTAATATTCACGGAGAGAAATGCAAATAGACTCATTTGAAATTGTTGTTGGCCTCCCCGACTGTGCTTCTGACTTATCCTATGGGTTGTCATTGTCTGATCATGGACTGAGAGATCTGAATACAGTTTCCCTGGTTATTCCTGTGTGATCACAGTGTGGCAAGGAAGATAGTCTTGGGTGTCTGACACAGAGCTCCTCTTGAGCAAGACAGAAATACAAATAACGGATCATGTAGGAATCTGAGGGTTTACTGCTGCGCGACTAACAGTCTTGTCACCCCGTGTGCTCTGTACTTTGAGAATGGAGTAGATAGGATCGATTAACTCAGTGGGATTTGCTTTTGCTTAAAGGAGGTCGGGCTTGCTCCTGGCAGACCCAGCCACCTGGTTATAGAGGTGTCCTGTTTCCCTGCAACAGGGGGGGGCGGGGGGGGGGACAGGAGGGGCAGGGGGGGGCCACGCACAGCCGAGGTTGAAAACATGGTCTGGCCAGCACAGTCTGTCTTTCTGAATGTGATTTGAAAAGCCCTCTGTCCCTGGCTCTCTCGCTCAGTCACCTCGAAGGATGCTCTGGATCAGCCGTCTCAGCTGCACCACTGCACCCGTCCCCCCCACCTCTGGGTCAGTTTATAAACGCTGCTCAAATGTTTCCAAATACCTTACATTTCCTAAATGCCGATATGGACTCAGCCTGGAGAGAACATGAATTTCCCAGAGGGTTTGGCGGCCCCTGATTGAGTGACACAGCTGGCCAGAAACCACAGGCAGGTCACAAGACCCTATTTGGCCTGCCCCAAGTGGCCGAGAGAGAACACATCCTGTTTATCACCGCTGTGTGTGTCACTGGCCCCATCTTCAAAAACTCACTGCGAAGCACGATGCAGAGGTCATCGGAGGTGCTTACCGGTTCAGACTGGCGGTCATCCCCCTCGGGTTCCAGTGTGCCTGGTACGTGCTGCTGATGCCGGCGGCATTCCTGAAGGGACAAAGCCGCCAAAGGCCACCTTCCTCTCCAACTACCCGGCAAGGGCCAGCATGAGTCCCGTTCATGTTCCCACATCTCCGCTCCTTACTGGCCACTGCTGTGGCAGCATGGATTCTCTTACGCTCACTGTCCAAAGTAAGGCCAAAACATCCCTGCTCCCCACAGCTGGATTAGTAAGGCCAGCCATCTGCTTGGCTTGGGAGTTTGCATAAACCCCTGCACTTCAGATCAGCCAGCCCCATTCTCTCCCTCTTGCCCCTTGGATCACAAGTAAGAAGGACTCTGTCTTCATGCAGCCGTTCTCTGCCACCAAGTCCTCCACAGCTGGTTCATCCCAATGAGGTCTCTGTCCACAGGACCTTCGACAAAGTCCTCTTCTGAAGCGGCCACTCGCGCTCAGTCCAAAGCCAATTGCCACTGTGGGTTTGCTCCTTCTCTATAAGAGCTCCCACAATCCCCGGAGACTATTGTTTAAAGTAAACATCCTGCCAATAAAATGATTTTGACTCACATGGATCCTGTAACACAGAGTAGAACGATGTCCTTGGGCATCTGAGGGGGTTAATCTTTATGAGAGTCGATAGCCTTGTGTATTTCCTGAGGAGAAGCTGATGGGTTTGAACCATTGACTTTGGAGCTAGTAGCCCAATGTTTAACCCATCATTACACCAGGGCTTCTTTTGATTCTTACCTGTTTATTATATCCTGAAAGGATGCAAGCCCAGAAACACATCAGGGAGAGTCCTTGGTATGTGGTTTCCAGGGCCCTGCAATGGGTGAGCAGCCTCCTCTGTTCATGGACATTCCCACCCCTCCAGAAAGCACCCCTCAAAATGAGCTGAAGGAGAGGCGCAGGGTCCCTTAGTCTTTGTAACCTTAGTGCATCGTTATGACCCGTCCCTTCAGCAAACTGCACGACTTCATCATGTCCGTCTTCCTTTCCTGTGTAGCCCCTACTTACAGTCACATGTCAAGTGTAGCCTGGCTAATTTAGAAAACAGAATCCCCTTGACTTTTCTTATTTGTCAAGTTATTTTTCCCACAATAGAAGGCATGGGGTGAACAGAATTATTCTGGTTCAATTTTGACTGTTGCTGTGGGTCCCACTAAGAAGTTCTCATGGTGTAGTAGGCTACTCCCCAAACGGCTAACTGTAAGCTCTGTTCAAACCAAGAAGCTGCTCCCTAGGCGCGAGAGGAGGCCGTCGCCATCTGTAAAGATAAGACATCTCAGAAGCCCTATAAGGTTGCTCTGCGAGTCAGAATCAACTTGATGGCCTTGCGTTTGGTGTTTGGGTGGGTCCTGCTACACAAGGCAGTGATAGAAAGGGGATCATTCTGCCCTAAAGCAGAGCTCCTCCTGGAGCCCCCTGCCCCACCCCAAGTTTCCTTGACTCTGACTCAGCCATCCATCCCCATGTGCCTAAGTTTGGTGGATTTCCTGCACACTAGGTAGATGTTGTTTACCACGCTAAACCCAAGGGGCCATTTTAATTGGGCAAGAAGCCTTGTTTTGGCAGATGAAGATGAAAGTGTGAGTAGAATTGTCCCCCACCCACATGCCTCCAGCCGCCAATGGGATGTGGCCAACTGGCAGTAATTTGGGGCTTCAATGAATTCCTTCTGTTAAATCAAAATTTATCTGAAAGGAAAACATAGCAGCATTGCAAAATGCCCAACTTTGCAAATAATTATCAAGGACCTGTTCTCAGGCCTGCTTCCTTCTCAGGCCCAATCTGGAATTCTTGCATTCATTGGCTGCATATGCCTGTTTGGAATAGAAAGGGTATTTCTGTTTTGTTTTGTTTATTTTATTCTATTCTTTTTCTTTCTTTCTTTGTTGTTGTTGTTGTTGTTTTCTTTTCTAAACTGAAACACTTAGATATTCATCTGTCAATGACAGCTTTGAAGAAAGGGCAGTCAAACTGGGCAGGATTCCATTAATGCATCCACCTTGGGGCATAAATAAGCCCATCCATCTTCTTGGCCTATAACATTGCCATGGTCCCTCTCTTGAGGAGCCTGCCAGCGTTGCAGCTGCCTCCAGTGTGCTGCATTTTCCTAATTGCTTCCTCACTGCGGCGGCAAGGGAAGAAGCGGGGGAACGTTCTCTTTGGCGGGCTGGCCTACCAAGGCTTTCCTGAGCCCTGGAACCTTCCGCGTCAAGCCCCTAATCCAGGTTTCTGAAGTGGTGGGGGACAAAAGCATGGCTCATGGGATCTGTCTTGGTTTGCTGCTCACTCTTGAACTGGCTAAATGGATGGTCTTGTGTCCCTGAGTTTTGGGGTCTGGGCTCTCTGAAGTCTGTCTAAGGTAGGGATGGCTACTACCTGCCTTGCCTTTCTCTGGGTTTGTTTGGGAATAAATAAGCAAACAAAGCAAAATACATGGTTATAAACATGTTTAAACATTTAGCAACGTTTGAGAAGCCATGTCTGTGATGGAGAAGTGAGTTGAAAACCCGAGTGAAAGCTTTGGGGGTTCAAGGCCTTTGGTTTGAGCCCCTCCTTTCCCAGTAGAGGCCTGGGCATAGGCAGTCCCCAGCTATGGACCTCCAGTTACATGCTCCCACAGTCATGGACCAACTCCTGTGCAGCCGGGTCTGTCGAAAAGGTGAGGAACATACAGTAGTTCATAGTAACATGTTGGTGCTACTTTGGGACATGCATCCAAAGAGTATTATGACTGTATTATTTTATTAAGTATCTTGTTGGGTATCTAGAAGTGTTTTTTAGTATTTTCCATTGAAATATATCCTATATATTAATGCAAACATTTGGCTAACTCATATTAGATAGGAACTATACCTAACTATTCTGGTTTACATACAATGACGATTAAAAGACAGACTTGGGAAAGGAACTCCTGCATATTCTAGGGGCAGACATTGCCTGAGAACTTAGTTTCTAAATGGAATTGAACTTCTGAGAACCTGCTTCGCCTTTTCTTACTGTGTTAGGTTGGATTGTCGGGAGCCACGAAATCAGGGGCATCCAAATGTATAGGACAGAGCTTGATATCAAGAAGGCATTCCCAGCCAATGCAACTTCAGTCTGTGAGTCGGAAGCCAGCCCATGAGTCCTGCTTT